TCTGGGACAGATTGCATGAGTCAACAAATGTAAACAATAGAGCTCAGCACGGGAGGGGGGGAAGTCTGTAATCAGCCATTGGACCTGTCTCCCAGTGGGGTAGCTGGGCCAGTAAGAAAGGGTATTTCCTACCATAACAAGCTTACCAGGGAGCCCTTTTCATAATGGATCTAAATGGTTTAGATGTTGTTTTTTAAATTCCTTTTTATTTTCTTGATGCAGCTCATCCCAGCCGAGGTCAAAGGTCATGACCTTTGTCTGCAACCATTTGTTTGCCTTGTGCATGCTGGGATATCTAATAGTGCTTCTGCTGATCGGACTCCTGAACTCCAGAACTTTTCAGACATTTTACAGGAAGCACTTTGGCTCCAGATCATGATGTAAGCACATCATGTCCATAAAGTACTGTTGGCATCTCAAGATATGGACATCGCATTCTTTGGAAATGATCTCTTGCCATGACCCACAAAAGGTTGTCTCATTCATCAGATGAAATCTTTCATAGTTAGAAATGAAGACAGATAAAGGATCAGCTTATCTTGCAGTGCAGTCCTCAACATATACTAGAGGTTCATTCAGTGGTTGGTTTGGTTTGCACCAAATTCAATTTTAAGGTAGCTGCCAGTATGGGAAAGTAGGATACTGGTCTCAGCAATTTACGGATTTCTAGTTTTAAGTCTTCTTTTTGATTTCTTTCCCTTTATTTTAAATGCTGTGTCTGTTAGTTTTGTCTGAAGTTACTTTATTATTAAAGTTACTTTATTATTATGCCTTAATGTCTTCACTTTCCTCTTTTATGTTCAAGTGGTTTTATGGAGTATTGAATCTGCACTCAGTGCTTTTTTTGCCAAGAAAAGGTAGCGCTACAATTACTTCATTTGTAATCAAAGATTTTGGAATACTTCCAGTGTTTTTGGGGGGCTATGACAAACATGATACAATAGCATGAAATTATGGTAGGATGCTGGCCTTTTTCCGAGCCTTTTGTTGTGTTTGTCCGAACAGACTCAAAGATGCTTGGGCAAATTGTCCGACCAACATATCAAAAACAGCTCTTAAAATACAACGCAATATGTGTGATTATGGCATCCTATTTATTATTAGTTTTGTGTTAGAATTGCGTTCATTTTGCCCAAGCCATTCATCAGAGCTGATCGCTCACCATCAGCCCATGTCACCCAGCACCACACGTGTATGAACACGTGTGTACTTTACTTGCACAGACATGAAATCGTCCCATAATTCTTTGCGCATAGTAAAACATAGGTCATACTGTCAACCGAACTGATGTTCAATTTTCTGTGGTAACCCATGCATGACACATATCCTGGGTACCAGGCAATATGGACCAGTTGTGGTTGGCTGTGTTGGTGCGGTTCCTCCAATTCAACCCAAGTGTATTTCTGTATGTGCGATGGGAGTATACCCTCGTTGACCCGTGTGTCTTACTCCTGCTGAACACGAGTAGGTTGACCTATGCACTTACCAAAGTACAAACTATGTTAGTACATGTATTTGTAAATAATTGTAATGGCGTTGTGTGCATTAAGTGGTTGAGCGATAACAGAGCATTCTGTGCAGAGTGCACAAATTTTACACGACACGTTACAACTCTACCTTTTATATAATATGGCAGATCATAAGCTGATAATGGCAGAACAAAATTGATTGTGTTAAGACATTTTGTCCGAGCACTTTTTTGGTCTAATTTGGCGCTCTGTGATACAGCTGCTAAACCAGTTGTGTATAACAGACCTACATGTAGATGCTGACACATTTTTTCAAAACTGCAAATAATGAGTCACATGATGCCATATTCTGCCTAGTAAAGACCTTCAGTATTGTCAGTTGTTCATACACCTAGAATGCTGTGTGCTGGAATGTCAAATGGATTAGGAATGAAGTTGGACAGATTTCACAAGTCTTCCTTTTTGATGTATGTTGATATGATGATGTTGTTTTTGCTTCATGGCAGTACATTTTGTGTGTCAGTTTAAAGATTTGACATTTGACCAGTGTCAGTAAATTTCATGTCTAGTCCCGTGTTGTTTCTGAAGAGTGACTGTACATGTCACAGCACAAAACACTACAGATAATGCTAAGGTATCATTGCTTCGAAATTTTTTTCCCCCGGAGGTGAGTTTTCTTTTTTCTATGCTGGTGAAGCGCAGGACTGGCTTATCATTACAGTGTTTCAAACCAAACTGCTGTCAATGGAGCTTACTCACCCACACTTGTCTGTGGACATTCCTTTCTTTTCGTGCAGTTACGGAAACTCAGTGAAAATACTCATTTTCTTGAACTGGGAACATGATTTTCTGCTGGTTTTGTGTACAAGGTTTCCTCAACTATTCCTCTGCCTTTTAAGACAGATGACCCCTACCCCACAATGACTCTAAACTTCTTATTCAGAGAAGGGGAAATGTCCTGTGGACATATGTAAGTCTGCAGAGCGTCTTCCTTTCCCGCATCGTGTGGACATCTTTTATTCACAAGTCTACACTAAGTATGTAAGGTTAGCGCACTGATGCATTTTGATGTGAAACACTTTGTATGTATTCAATTCTGCCTAACACATAAGTCATTCCTTGAATAATAATGATACACCCTTAGTTTCATTTTCATATTTATCTTTATTTTACAATATTTCCACACACTTATTTTTCTATAGATTACAACCATAATAGTAATTCCATCGTGTCTGGCACCGATCACTTTTTACTTAATGCTGCAGAGAACTACATGTACATGGATGTAAAACCCACGACAGAATACTGATCAACCAATAGTGTGGCCTAAATCTGTCAAGTGGACACTCTTAAGTTCATATCATGTCTCTACGTGATCAAGGGCTGTTGTTAAAAAGCTGCATAAAATATATGGAAATATGAACCTTGTTAGTGGCACTTTGGTGTAACAGCGAAATCAATACAGAAATTCAACAACAGTTTCATTCTCCATTTTAGACTGAGACGTCCAATGCAGAAATCATGGAAATCATGGTCAAATCAACTTCCCTTTAACCCTGAGATCTGCCCTCATTTTCATTCAGTAATTCTGTCCTCAAATATGTTATTCAACAAAGTGGTACGCATTGGGGGGGAAAACGATCAACATTCCTCAAGTACACCATACATCACCTGCGTTTAAATTGATTCATAATTTCTGACACTATCCATTAAATACATGGAGTGATCTGAATTTGTTCCTATTGACTGTTTACCCTTTCAATGCCAAGACCCAGCTATATTGGCTAATGTTTCTTTTCATCTATTTGACCTTTATGGTTGTGAATTAAACAAGTTGCATACATCTGGACTTTAGACAGTGCAACAAAGAGATATCTACTCTAGATTTGGTGACCATGTGGATATCTTGTGTTGGTGGAAAAAATCCTTCCAAACTCATGTAGTACACCTTCGTTACACTACATGACCCACAGTAGGCTACACCCTCACTCAACCGTCTAAAACAATATATACCGCTTAATTAACATTATCATAGTGTAGTCTGTATATCTGTACTGAAAGACTGCTTGCATAACTCTTGCAGATTTCCTACATGTGTCTTCCATTCAATTTAGCAATCTGCTCAATGCATACATTCCACACTTCTGAATATACATGTAATTATTTTCAAGACATGATACAATTCTATTATTATAGCTCTTTAATATTCAATCAAAAGCACTACCAACAAAAAGCAATCAATTACCTTTAATACAGTTAAAACCAGGCTTCCAATTTCATCCTATTTCTTAAATCTCAAATAATTTCAAAATACATGTAAGAGTAAAAAGTGCAAAACCAAATGAAACCAATGCAGTGTGTATTTCAGCCATGGCAAATTAGCAAGCACGGTTGACTTTATACAGCATTTACCAACTCCTACACAACTTGTCTATCACCGGTACCCTTCAGAACAAACCAATCACACATCTTTCCTGGTGTTTTCTTGTTTAATGTCAAACCATCTAGACTTGCTGAACGTGTTATACATTATACTTTTTCTGTTTCACACCATAAAAATTGCAGCAACCCATGTGTTACATTTATTCAAACTTTCTGAAGTAATGTATCCACTCTGTAGATACAAATGTAACTGGTTGCTTTTAAACAACAATGGAATGTTTATTTAAATCTGTTCTGGGGACATAAGACACTTTCCTCCACTTGCTCCTGTCCAGAAAGGAGTAAAATGGCTTATATATGAGGTAGAGTCAGATCATTTGTGTTGGAATTGTCCTGAGAGCTCTTACCATAGCTACAAGGTTACACATTCATGAAGAAACTGATCATTTTATGACAAATATGGATGCAACAAAGTATAGGTAACAAGCATTGAGTGTGTGACACTTCACAATGACATACATTATCCTTGGACGGTATTGCATTTTTTGAACACCACAATATGTATGATAAAAATACAACAATATTCACTGATATCGTGAGATTCTTTGCAGTGGGGTATTAAGTGTGCATCATCAAAAAGCAACTACTTCTGACTTCCAGTCGGACTCTAAAAGCTTCATGTACACCTAAACCACAAACACCATGATGGAGGGGGTGAAAGAACTTCCAAGGCTTTTGGCTGGTGGGTTGGCAGTTGTTCAAGTTTCATGTTGCTAAGTCCAAATGACAATGTAGATACTGATTGACACTGGACTTGTACCACAAAGGATGGAGTGAAATACAATGATATGGTGGATTTCCTTTATTTTCAAAGCATATTAGCAAGAGTACCATGGTATCAAAATTCTGTGCGGTATTTAACAGTATTTCAGTATATATGGACAACCAGCATGACAAGTCGGTATTTTTCAATATTGAAAAAAATACCGCCACTATTTGGTGATATAAAAATACAGCATGGCTTGAGGGGTACTATTGGGAATTACTGGTCCCGAGGTGTAGGTCAGCTGGGAATCACTGGTCCCGAGGTGTAGGTCAGCTGGGAATTACTGGTCCCGAGGTGTAGGTCAGCTGGGAATTACTGGTCCCGAGGTATAAGTCAGCTTGACTACCTGTAGTCAAGCTGACATACGCCTCGGGACCAGCAATTTCCACTACACTGTACATGTATTTTTCTGAAATAAACCATGCTGTAATTGTTTTACTACACTTCATAAATAGTGTACTCACAGAGGCCATCATTGTTTCTCAGCTGCTAAATTTCCATGTAATGATAATGGAGTGCAGATGTGCATAGAAACAGGGCTTTAATGGTCTGGTGCTGTAATACGTTTTTGGTCTTTACTGTAATAGTCATTAGGATACAACTCCAGACTGGTTCTGTAAAGATTACATGACACAGACTACATATTTGCACGGCGGATTCCAGAGGGATGCTACCAGAAAAAACTACCGCATGGCAGTGAGGTGGATACTTACCGCTATGACGTCACCTGGTCACGTATTATTTCTACTTCCCAGACGTGAGGTGGAATTGGCCAATGACAAGCTCCGATTTGCTTGTGAATATTTATGAAGTGTAGTAATACTGTACCGTCCAAGCCTAACATACATAGCACTGTTACCATGTCAATGTCAGAAATGAGAACTATTTTCACCAGTTAGCTTCATGCACAAGTTTGAATTTCAACAATTCATAATTGCAAATAATATCAACGTAGACCAGAAACAAATTTGTAACACTAACATACTGCAGGATTATAAGATCAAGTCAAAAAAAAGATGTAAATGTATGGAGTTTTCAATGTAACATGACTTTGAAAGTGCCCCTGTAATATCATATATTGGTTTAACATGTGGCATGTCAATGTACAATCAAACCTCGTTAATAAGAGGTCCTTTGGACTTGGCAATAACATGTACCTTATTATAACGGGAACGATGTATTATCAGGAATGAAAACACAGGACTGGGACCTGAAATTTGTCTTGTTATAAGCAGAATCTCATGTCAGCAGTGCTCTCATTAACAAAGTTCAGCTGTATTGTATCATTAATATTTACATTTGTAAAGGCTCTATGACACACACCTTCAGTGACAGAGGTTACACACAGACTGATGAGCTCCCAGACAATTATTTGTGACCTGTATTTGTGTACTTTCATCAGACAGCAAATTCAGTGATTATCCAGTTGATTTGTTTATTGTTATCACAAAGATTGCCAGCTTTTTCTTCCTATATGTAGTTTAACAAATACTGGAAATGATTTCTGCAGTTCTGAACGCAGTAAAAGCACAAGGAAGAAAGATTGACCATTTGCTTATCATTACTAACTACAAATGACTGTCAAATGTTGAGATAGTTATGTGCATTTGAACTCCAATTTGAGATCCAGCTCAAAGTCTCTGGCTAGGATTTGATGAGGTCAAGACTCTTCCCAAATCAACCCCCCCCGGGGTTCTGCAATATGAAAGGCAGACAGTATCTCAACAAGTGGTATCAAATAACCAAAAATGTATGGAATAAATACACACATTGTAATCTCCTAATGTCATGACTTTCCATGAGTGCATGTAGCGTAGCATTGCCAATATCCATGGAAATGAGCTTCAAACTTGGTAATTAAGTATTTCCACTGCCATTAAATCGTGTGTGAAATAAGTATCGTGAAATCAAAGTCAAAAGTCACAGAGGTGGTGACTGCAACTTGGTTGAGGGTTTCCCCTAATAACTAACAAACTTGGAACAAATTAAGAGATCCTGATGGTAACCTCCAAGAGCATTTTCTGGATGCCGACAAATTATGAAACGCCATTAGAATCTCAATTCTAATCCCTAACTTCATGATGTCCTGGCACACCTTACAAGTAAACTGCGCACTTTGAAATGAGGGAACTGTGTTAACATGTGAGTTTGGAATTTGAAGAATTATGGACAAAGGTGTTTCAGATGCCAGATTCTTACTTTCTTTGCACTTCAGGGCACAAAAGTACACAATAGTATGCAGCTAAGCAAATGAAGGGCAAATGTTCAAAGTGCACTGCAATGGGGATATGTGAGCCATCAATAATAAGAAACCAACATTATTGTTGAATGGATGTCACATGGTTTTCTAAATTTCTTCATTGTAAATAATCCTTAAAATGTCAACCAAATAATGCAAACAAACAGATTTTCCAGAGAGAAAATCCTGTATCAATTGTATGTATGAGGTATTCTGTAGGGATTTCCATCATCAGATCATGGCAACAAATTAGGCTCAAAATAATCTAGTTTAACTGCATCACTACTTTTGTATGGATCTGAGCTTAACATTCTATTCCAAAATACCGCAAAAACTGTTACACTTCATACAATGAAAAAGAACACAAGATATTTATATTATGCTCAAACCATTATCATTTGGTATTAAATTCCTGGCCAAAAACCTATTCCCTCTTAAATTTCATGAAAATCTAAGACCTGAACATAATGCATTCAAGTTCACACATTTGGTACTGTTACATAAAGGTCATCACCTGTAAAAACATTTGTCTGCACCTCTTCATCAAGGATGTCCGAAGCACATGGTCCAAGTGATTCTCGGTATGAAGAGATCAAATTGAGTCCATGGTAGTGTACAAATGCTGCTGCCACAACCAGAACATGAAAAAACTGGTGACTGTGAAACTGGGGGAGAAAAAGAATACTTAACCTAAACAAGAACGGCAGGTCAATTGTTTGGCAGTTTTCAAGAACTCATTTTATTACAGAAACCTGAAGAACTAAAACTTTCCTCCCATGCCAAATTATCAGTTGTAATCATGTTTCCAAAGGAATGTAATTTTTCAATGGGGGCACATGAATGTGTACATTATATGTCCGTTTGGTTGCCAGAACGATTACCAATCTACTGACAACTCTACACAGGTGCATGTACATGCAGCAAATATGCTTTATATTGAAAGCCTTCAAAGCTTTGGAGTTAATGGCTCCAAAACTTTTTGCATGTGACTGGCTAGAGAATAATTTATGTAGCCCATGTTCTTGAAAACCTTTTTGAAACACTACACATAGAAATTACACCATTAACTCTGAACATGTGAGTTATGCTTTTCAAAGAGGATTCTCGTCTCATCTGAGTTGGTATTATACAATCATAGAATCAAAAGCCTAAAGATTAATTCCACACTGTCTGGTATTCCAGATTTTATTTTTACTAATGGTCTCTGCCAATCAGCAAGGGTTATGTACCTCATCATGGTGAACGCACTGTGAGAGCTCATTATACAAAGTAACTGGTTTCTTGGCAGATTTAATGAACAGCTGAGACAATGCCAATATTGCCATTTCAACGGCATGATGTGATGAGGGATTGTTTTACTATTAAAGGGACAACTACAACACTAGTTGGTAAAATGTCATTTGCCTTCAAGTAAGTTAACTTACAGACTGCAACTCTAATGTCCATAAATTCGGATTATTCTCTTACCCATATGTCACACTTGCCAGGGAAGAATCGCTCAGGTATACGCACAGCGTAAAAAATGGCTCCTGTGATGTACAAGCCTGCCATGAGAAGTATCCAACCAAATGCACAATTTTGGAAGGCTTCCACAAAACCACTGATGGCCAAGAAATGACAAGCAGGGATGATGGCACTCAACCCTAGACCTAAAAACAAACCTGTACACAAGAAGTAAACGACAGTCAATACAAAGGGTCCCTTGTTTTCCAGCTGCTTCTTAACTGAAGTATAACAAGTAACTTTGTAAACTTTTTGCCGCCTACATGTGCTCCATGAACACTCTTTGCCCCTTTCTTCCTCAAAGACAGATTAGGTTGAGCATACTAGATACTAAACAGGTTAGGTTGAGC